GTCACCGACTTTTTGGGTTTATCCTAGGTATTTTACACGTGTTACTGTGTATGATAATTTGTGTAACTGTATTTGTGTACCTGTACCTAAATAAACTTACTAGGCTACGTAGGAAGATAGTGCTACTTACTAGGCTACATAGGAAGATAATGCTACTTACTAGGATACATAGGAAGGTAGTGCTACTTACTAGGCTATGTAGGAAGGTAATGCTACTTGGCTACGTAGGAGGGTAGTGCTACTTACTAGGCTACATAGGAAGATAATGCTACTTACTAGGCTATGTAGGAAGATAATGCTACTTACTAGGCTATGTAGGAAGGTAGTGCTACTTACTAGGCTACATACGAAGGTAGTGCTACTTACTAAACTATGTAGGAAGGTAGTGCTACTTACTAGGCTATGTAGGAAGATAATGCTACTTACTAGGCTACGTAGGAAGATAATGCTACTTACTAAGCTATGTAGGAAGATAATGCTACTTACTATGCTACATAGGAAGATAATGCTACTTACTAGGGTACGTAGGAATGCTACTTACTAGGCTATGTAGGAAGATAATGCTACTTACTAGGGTGCGTAGGAAGGTAGTGCTACTTACTAGGCTACGTAGGAAGACAATGCTACTTACTAGGTTACATAAGTAGGGCTACTTACTAGGCTATGTAGGAAGATAATGCTACTTACTAGGCTATGTAGGAAGATAATGCTACTACTAGGCTATGTAGGAAGATAATGCTACTTACTAGGCTACGTTGGAAGAAAATGCTACTTACTAGGCTATGTAGGAAGATAATGCTACTTACTAGGCTACATAGGAAGATCATGCTACTTACTAGGCTACGTAGGAAGATAGTGCTACTATACTAGGCTATGTAGGAAGATAATGCTACTTACTAGGCTACGTAGGAAGATCATGCTACTTACTAGGCTATATAGGAAGGTAGTGCTACTTACTAGGCTACATAGGAAGATAATGCTACTTACTAGGCTACGTAGGAAGATAATGCTACTAGGCTACATAGGAAGATAATGCTACTTACTAGGCTACATAGGAAGGTAGTGCTACTTACTAGGCTACCTAGGAAGGTAGTGCTACTTACTAGGCTATGTAGGAAGATAATGCTACTTACTAGGCTACGTAGGAAGATAATGCTACTTACTAGGCTACGTAGGAAGATAATGCTACTTACTAGGCTATGTAGGAAGGTAGTGCTACTTACTAGGCTACATACGAAGGTAGTGCTACTTACTAAACTATGTAGGAAGGTAGTGCTACTTACTAGGCTATGTAGGAAGATAATGCTACTTACTAGGCTACGTAGGAAGATAATGCTACTTACTAAGCTATGTAGGAAGATAATGCTACTTACTATGCTACATAGGAAGATAATGCTACTTACTAGGGTACGTAGGAATGCTACTTACTAGGCTATGTAGGAAGATAATGCTACTTACTAGGGTACGTAGGAAGGTAGTGCTACTTACTAGGCTACGTAGGAAGACAATGCTACTTACTAGGTTACATAAGTAGGGCTACTTACTAGGCTATGTAGGAAGATAATGCTACTTACTAGGCTACGTAGGAAGATAATGCTACTACTAGGCTATGTAGGAAGATAATGCTACTTACTAGGCTACGTTGGAAGAAAATGCTACTTACTAGGCTAGGTAGGAAGATAATGCTACTTACTAGGCTACATAGGAAGATCATGCTACTTACTAGGCTACGTAGGAAGATAGTGCTACTTACTAGGCTATGTAGGAAGATAATGCTACTTACTAGGCTACGTAGGAAGATCATGCTACTTACTAGGCTATATAGGAAGGTAGTGCTACTTACTAGGCTACATAGGAAGATAATGCTACTTACTAGGCTACGTAGGAAGATAATGCTACTAGGCTACATAGGAAGATAATGCTACTTACTAGGCTACATAGGAAGGTAGTGCTACTTACTAGGCTACCTAGGAAGGTAGTGCTACTTACTAGGCTATGTAGGAAGATAATGCTACTTACTAGGCTACGTAGGAAGATAATGCTACTTACTAGGCTACGTAGGAAGATAACGCTACTTACTATGCTACATAGAAAGATAATGCTACTTACTAGGCTACGTAGGAAGATCATGCTACTTACTAGGCTACATAGGAAGGTAGTGCTACTTACTAGGCTACATAGGAAGATAATGCTACTTACTAGGCTACATAGGAAGATAATGCTACTAGGCTATGTAGGAAGATAATGCTACTACTAGGCTATGTAGGAAGATAATGCTACTTACTAGGCTCCATAGGAAGGTAGTGCTACTTACTAGGCTTCCTAGGAAGGTAGTGCTACTTACTAGGCTATGTAGGAAGATAATGCTACTTACTAGGCTATGTAGGAAGATAATGCTACTTACTAGGCTACGTAGGAAGATAACGCTACCTACTGTGCTACATAGAAAGATAATGCTACTTACTAGGCTACGTAGGAAGATAATGCTACTAGGCTATGTAGGAAGATAGTGCTACTTACTAGGCTATGTAGGAAGATAATGCTACTTACTAGGGTATGTAGGAAGGTAGTGCTACTTACTAGGCTACATAGATAATGCTACCTGGAGTTTACCTGGAGAGAGTTCCGGGGGTCAACGCCCCCGCGGCCCGGTCTGTGACCAGGCCTCCTGGTGGATCAGAGCCTGATCAACCAGGCTGTTGCTGTTGGCTGCACGCAAACCAACGTACGAGCCACAGCCCGGCTGATCAGGAACCGACTTTAGGTGCTTGTCCAGTGCCAGCTTGAAGACTGCCAGGGGTCTGGTGGTAATCCCCCTTATGTGTGCTGGGAGGCAGTTGAACAGTCTCGGGCCCCTGACACTTATTGTATGGTTTCTTAACGTGCTAGTGACACCCCTGCTTTTCATTGGGGGGATGTTGCATCGTCTGCCAAGTCTTTTGCTTTCGTAGTGAGTGATTTTCGTGTGCAAGTTCGGTACTAGTCCCTCTAGGATTTTCCAGGTGTATATAATCATGTATCTGCGTTCCAGGGAATACAGGTTCATGCTACATGCTAGGCTACATAGGCAGTGCTACTTACTAGGCTACGTAGGAAGATAATGCTACTTACTAGGCTACGTAGGAAGATAATACTACTTACTAGGCTACATAGGAAGATAGTGCTACTTACTAGGCTACATAGGAAGATAATGCTACTTACTAGGCTATGTAGGAAGATAATGCTACTTACTAGGCTACGTATGAAGATAGTGCTACTCACTAGGCTACTTAAGAACATAGTGCTACTCACTAGGCGACGTAGGAAGGTAGTGCTACATACTAGGCTACGTAGGAAGATAATGCTACTTACTAGGCTATGTAGGAAGGTAGTGCTACATACTAGGCTACGTAGGAAGATAATGCTACTTACTAGGCTACGTAATAAGCTAGTGCTATTTACTAGGCTATGTAGGAAGGTAGTGCTACTTACTAGCCTACGTAGGAAGATAATGCTACTTACTAGGCTACGTAATAAGCTAGTGCTACTTACTAGGCTACGTAAGAAGCTAGTGCTACTAGGCTACGTAGGAAGATAATGCTGCTTACTAGGCTACGTAGGAAGGTAGTGCTACATACTAGGCTACGTAGGAAGATAATGCTACTTACTAGGCTACGTAATAAGCTAGTGCTACTTACTAGGCTATGTAGGAAGGTAGTGCTACTTACTAGCCTACGTAGGAAGATAATGCTACTTACTAGGCTACGTAATAAGCTAGTGCTACTTACTAGGCTACGTAAGAAGCTAGTGCTACTAGGCTACGTAGGAAGATAATGCTGCTTACTAGGCTACGTAGGAAGATAGTGCTACTTACTAGGCTACGTAGGAAGATAATGCTACTTACTAGGCTACGTAGGAAGGTAGTGCTACTTACTAGGCTATGTTGTAAGATAATGCTATTTACTAGGCTACGTAGGAAGCTAGTGCTACTTACTAGGCTAAGGAGGTAGTGCTACTTACTAGGCTACGTAGGAAGTTAGTGCTACTTACTAGGCTACGTAGGAAGGTAGCGCTACTTACTAGGCTACGTAGGAAGCTAGTGCTACTTACTAGGCTACGTAGGAAGTTAGTGCTACTTACTAGGCTACGTAGGAAGTTAGTGCTACTTACTGAGCTACGTAGGAAGCTAGTGCTACTTACTTGGCTACATAGGAAGTTAGTGCTACTTACTAGGCTACGTAGGAAGGTAGTGCTACTTACTAGGCTACGTAGGAAGCTAGTGCTACTTACTAGGCTACGTAGGAAGTTAGTGCTACTTACTAGGCTACGTAGGAAGTTAGTGCTATTACTAGGTACGTAGGAGGTTAGTGCTACTTACTAGGCTGCGTAGGAAGTTAGTGCTACTTACTAGGCTATGTAGGAAGTTAGTGCTACTTACTAGGCTACGTAGGAGGTTAGTGCTACTTACTAGGCTGCGTAGGAAGGTAGTGCTACTTACTAGGCTACGTAGGAAGCTAGCGCTACTTACTAGGCTACGTAGGAGGTTAGTGCTACTTACTAGGCTGCGTAGGAAGTTAGTGCTACTTACTAGGCTACGTAGGAAGGTAGTGCTGCTTACTAGGCTACGTAGGAGGTTAGTGCTACTTACTAGGCTGCGTAGGAAGGTAGTGCTACTTACTAGGCTACGTAGGAAGCTAGTTCTACTTACTAGGCTACGTTGGAGGTTAGTGCTACTTACTAGGCTGCGTAGGAAGTTAGTGCTACTTACTAGGCTACGTAGGAAGGTAGTGCTACTTACTAGGCTACGTAGGAAGTTAGTGCTACTTACTAGGCTACGTAGGAAGGTAGTGCTACTTACTAGGCTACGTAGGAAGCTAGTGCTACTTACTAGGCTACGTAGGAAGGTAGTGCTACTTACTAGGCTACGTAGGAAGCTAGTGCTACTTACTAGGCTACGTAATAAGATAATGTTTTCATTCTCTGTGAAATAATCTTAGTTGTTGATGTTTTGTGTTCCTCAGCTGTGATCACTTCCATGGGTGTGTTTGGTCCCCTGCTGGGTCTGTCTCTCTCAGACCTTACACTCGCCCTCTACGTCTACCCTGCCCAACAACATGGTCAGTATACCCTCTACGTCTACCCTGCCCAACACCATGGTCAGTATACCCCTGTATGTCTACCCTGCCCAACACCATGGTCAGTATACCCTGTATGTCTACCCTGCCCAACACCATGGTCAGTATACCCCTGTATGTCTACCCTGCCCAACACCATGGTCAGTATACCCCTGTATGTCTACCCTGCCCAACACCATGGTCAGTATACCCCTGTATGTCTACCCTGCCCAACACCATGGTCAGTATACCCCTGTATGTCTACTCTGCCCAACACCATGGTCAGTATACCCCTGTATGTCTACCCTGCAAAACACCATGGTCAGTACACCCCTGTATGTCTACCCTGCCCAACACCATGGTCAGTATACCCCTGTACGTCTACCCTGCCCAACACCATGGTCAGTATACCCCTGTATGTCTACCCTGCCCAACACCATGGTCAGTATACCCCTGTACGTCTACCCTGCCCAACACCATGGTCAGTATACCCTCTACGTCTACCCTGCAAAACACCATGGTCAGTATACCCCTGTGTGTCTACCCTGCCCAACACCATGGTCAGTATACCCCTGTATGTCTACCCTGCCCAACACCATGGTCAGTTTACCCCTGTACGTCTACCCTGCCCAACACCATGGTCAGTATACCCCTGTATGTCTACCCTGCCCAACACCATGGTCAGTATACCCTTTATGTCTACCCTGCCCAACACCATGGTCAGTATACCCCTGTACGTCTACCCTGCCCAACACCATGGTCAGTATACCCCTGTACGTCTACCCTGCCCAACACCATGGTCAGTATACCCCTGTATGTCTACCCTGCCCAACACCATGGTCAGTATACCCCTGTATGTCTACCCTGCCCAACACCATGGTCAGTATACCCCTGTACGTCTACCCTGCCCGACACCATGGTCAGTATACCCCTGTACGTCTACCCTGCCCAACACCATGGTCAGTATACCCCTGTATGTCTACCCTGCCCAACACCATGGTCAGTATACCCCTGTACGTCTACCCTGCCCAACACCATGGTCAGTATACCCCTTTATGTCTACCCTGCCCAACACCATGGTCAGTATACCCCTGTATGTCTACCCTGCCCAACACCATGGTCAGTATACCCCTGTATGTCTACCCTGCCCAACACCATGGTCAGTATACCCCTGTATGTTTACTCTGCCCAACACCATGGTCAGTATACCCCTGTATGTCTACCCTGCCTAACACCATGGTCAGTATACCCCTGTATGTCTACTCTGCCCAACACCATGGTCAGTATACCCTGTATGTCTACCCTGCCCAACACCATGGTCAGTATACCCCTGTATGTCTACCCTGCCTAACACCATGGTCAGTATACCCCTGTATGTCTACCCTGCCCAACACCATGGTCAGTATACCCCTGTATGTCTACCCTGCCTAACACCATGGTCAGTATACCCTGTATGTCACCCTGCCTAACACCATGGTCAGTTACCCCTGTATGTCTACCCTGCCCAACACCATGGTCAGTATACCCCTGTATGTCTACCCTGCCCAACACCATGGTCAGTATACCCTGTATGTCTACCCTGCCCAACACCGTGGTCAGTATACCCCTGTATGTCTACCCTGCTCAACATCATGGTCAGTATACCCTGTACGTCTACCCTGGCCAACACCATGGTCAGTATACCAATGTATGTCTACCCTGCCCAACACCATGGTCAGTATACCAATGTATGTCTACCTGCCCAACACCATGGTCAGTATACCAATGTATGTCTACCCTGCCCAACACCATGGTCAGTATACCAATGTATGTCTACCCTGCCCAACACCATGGTCAGTATACCAATGTATGTCTACCCTGCCCAACACCATGGTCAGTATACCCCTGTATGTCTACCCTGCCCAACACCATGGTCAGTATACCCCTGTATGTCTACCCTGCCCAACACCATGGTCAGTATACTCTGTACGTCTACCCTGCCCAGCACCTTGGTCAGTATACTCTGTACGTGTACCCTGGCCAACACCATGGTCAGTATACCAATGTATGTCTACCCTGCCCAACACCATGGTCAGTATACCAATGTATGTCTACCCTGGCCAACACCATGGTCAGTATACCAATGTATGTCTACCCTGCCCAACACCATGGTCAGTATACCAATGTATGTCTACCCTGCCCAACACCATGGTCAGTATACCCCTGTATGTCTACCCTGCCTAACACCATGGTCAGTATACCCCTGTATGTCTACCCTGCCCAACACCATGGTCAGTATACCCCTGTATGTCTACCCTGCCCAACACCATGGTCAGTATACCCTTGTATGTCTACCCTGCCTAACACCATGGTCAGTATACCCCTGTATGTCTACCCTGCCCAACACCATGGTCAGTATACCCCTGTATGTCTACCCTGCCCAACACCGTGGTCAGTATACCCCTGTATGTCTACCCTGCTCAACATCATGGTCAGTATACCCTGTACGTCTACCCTGGCCAACACCATGGTCAGTATACCAATGTATGTCTACCCTGCCCAACACCATGGTCAGTATACCAATGTATGTCTACCCTGCCCAACACCATGGTCAGTATACCAATGTATGTCTACTCTGCCCAACACCATGGCCAGTATACTCTGTACGTCTACCCTGCCCAGCACCTTGGTCAGTATACTCTGTACGTGTACCCTGGCCAACACCATGGTCAGTATACCAATGTATGTCTACCCTGCCCAACACCATGGTCAGTATACCAATGTATGTCTACCCTGCCCAACACCAGGGTCAGTATACCAATGTATGTCTACCCTGCCCAACACCATGGTCAGTATACCAATGTATGTCTACCCTGCCCAACACCATGGTCAGTTGTGTACGAATGGTATACAATACCGACAAGATGAGATTAAGACACATGTGTCTTAATCTCATCTTGTCGGTATTGTATACCATTCGTACACAACTTGTCAGACACTGCAACCTCATGGAATCTTAATTCTGAGGACATGTACATAACCTTCACGACTACGACAACTACTACTACAACTAACCCATCTCTTTGGGAAGGACCTACTTCCACTGGGGAATACCGCCTACCAGTGACTATGCCCTCATCTGCTACCCCTGACGTTACTATATAAGCGCCAGGCTCCTTGCTTCTGCTTCAGAATCTCCACGACTATGGTGCTGTTCGCACCTACTCCTAGGTTGAGGGACTGATTACCTCATCTTCTGTATATAGTTCTACTGTCTTCAAGTTATGTCCTAGAATTTGTATTGATAAAGCCACTGGATGGCGAAACGTCTACAATAAAGATACCCAGATGTTGCACATGTGTCTTAATCTCATCATGGTCAGTATACCAATGTATGTCTACCCTGCCCAACACTATGGTCGGTATACTCTGTACGGCTACCCTGCCCAACACCATGGTCAGTATATCCCTGTATGTCTACTCTGCAAAACACTGTGATCAGTATACTACTGTATGTCTACCCTGCCCAACACCATGATCAGTATACCCTGTACGTCTACCCTGCCCAACATGGTCAGTATACCCCTGTATGTCTACCCTGCCCAAAATCATGGTCAGTATACCCCTGTATGTCTTTCCTGCCCAACACTGGTCAGTATACCCCTGTATGTCTACACTGCCAAACATCATGGTCAGTATACCCTCAACGTCTACCCTGCCCAACACCATGGTCAGTATATCCTGTATGTCTACCTTGCCCAACACAGTGGTCAGTATACCCTGTATGTCTACCTTGCCCAACACCGTGGTCAGTATGCCTTGTATGTCTCCCCTGCCCAACACTGGTCAGTATACCCCTGTATGTCTACCCTGTCCAACACCGTGGTCAGTATACCCCTGTATGTCTACCCTGCCCACCACCGTGGTCAGTATACCCCTGTATGTCTACCCTGCCCACCACCGTGGTCAGTATACCCATGTATGTCTACCCTGCCCACCACCGTGGTCAGTATGCCTATGTATTTCTACCTTGCCCACCACCGTGGTCAGTATGCCTATGTATTACTACCCTGCCACCACCGTGGTCAGTATGCCTATGTATTTCTACCTTGCCCACCACCGTGGTCAGTATGCCTATGTATTACTACCCTGCCCACCACCGTGGTCAGTATGCCTATGTATTTCTACCCTGCCCACCACCGTGGTCAGTATGCCTATGTATTTCTACCCTGCCCACCACCGTGGTCAGTATGCCTATGTATTTCTACCTTGCCCACCACCGTGGTCAGTATGCCTATGTATTTCTACCTTGCCCACCACCGTGGTCAGTATGCCTATGTATTACTACCCTGCCCAGTACCATGATCAGTAAAGTCTCCTATACCAACGGTAGGAGAGAAATATCTATATACTTAATCAAGGGTGTACTGCGAGTTGTATTATTTGTGTATATGTGCAGTTTACTTCACTCTGCTTTACGGAGTAAAGTATTCCTGATTGGTTTTGTACAGGTTAACATGCAGCCTTAATGACTTTTGTGTAGGCGATAGGCTTGAAACTTCTATATTATATAATGCTACAGTGGAACCTAAGTGAAGACAGAGAAGTGAAGTAGGTATATAAAGTGAGCATTTATTGTTTGTGCTTCACGAAGGAAGCCCTCCTTACTTAGTCTCCCTACGATCCCCGTTTGGGAGGGGAACCTTTACCAGCGTCGTCTTCGCCTTAACTTGCACAATGAGCTACGCAAATCGTGTCAAGATCAAGCCAAACAGTGGCACTGTTGATGATACAACGAAGCTTGCTCTTGCAACTGTCGTTCAGGGAACATTGCATGTGAAATTCAACGCTATTCTGTCACTCAAAGAAGCATTCATTGTCGTGTGTCACGATGATGCTGAAGCACAGAAGATACTTACTACAGAAGCCACCACTACTCTTACTGCTCAAGGATTTACTGGTATATCCTCTTCTTGCTCTCAGGGCAAGGAAATCAGTATTCCTGAAAAAACTGGACAAGATTCTGACTTCTCTACCTGTCGCTGAACTCAAGTCATTTATTGATACTCAAAATACCTGGGCTACTGTTAACAGCATCACAAAAATCCCGAATGCATCGTCTATGCTCAAGGTCACCTTCACTGACGTGAACATGGCTGCCACTGCTCTGAACGAAGGTCTTGCTGTTTACTACTACTACATCAGTCCCACCTACATAGAAGTAGAGAGATATCACTACATCCAACATTGCTGGAACTGTTATTCTTATCTTCACACCACCAAAGCATGTCCAGTAAAAGACAAGAAGTTCTGCACTACATGTGGTAGTGAGGGACACACCTTCAGTTCCTGTACCGCTGCTGCTCCAACACAACCAGCGTGTTTAAACTGCAAAAGTAATGATCACCATACACTGGCAGCAAAATGTCCTACTAGAAAGGATATTATGAAGACAACACAAGATGCAGCAAAAAAAAAAAAAATCTAACAAGACACCAACGTATGCCGCAATAGCAAAGTTGCAAGCTGACACTACAAAACTACTTAAGCATCTACTCAACCCGTCTCCACCACCACCATCACTCTTCCAACATGAGACGTAACGAAGATCCATTACTGTCTACTATACACTCACATGCAAAACATGGCTGTACCTGGATCCTTTAGCTCTACCCCCCTCAAGGAAGGTTCCTTGATGTTGGTGAGGGGCTCTTGATTTAGGGAATTGGATCTGTGCTCCAGTTCCCCGAATTAAGCCTGAATGCCTTCCACATCCCCCCCCAGGCGCTGTATAATCCTCCGGGTTTAGCGCTTCCCCCTTGATTATAATAATAATAATAATTTAGCTCTACCATCAACGAGTTATTTGCATTAAATAACATACCATCATTTACATTTCCAGCATCTCCACCTCCTGAAGAAATTCTAAAATTCACCAAGGACTTAGTCACCACCTCTGCTGCAGTAGCTCCAACACCACCAACAACTAGTGACGTCACTCCAAAAACGTCCAATGAGAAGACTCCACCGCCACCACTCCTCACTGAAACCAACCAATCAGAAGCCTTGCCACCAGAAACATCTTCCTATTCGTCTACTGTTGATGACAACGAATCTTCACTTCCACCTTCAACACCACTTAACAAGAAAGAAAAACCAGCACCAACAACACCATCTTACGACTCTCGACTGGATACAGTATCAGATGAAGATAATGACAAGTACTCTACATGGAATGGAGTCACTTTTTGCACCACAGCATGCTATCTGAACTCCACTCTCACCTCAGCCAAAAGAAAGTCAAGTTTGTCATCGATCCTTCTAGCAGTGTTTATAAATTTGAACCTTCAACTAGTCTAAAGCATATTGATCAATGCTCTCAAGATTCCCGATATCGACACTTGTTAACACGTCTCATGATCGTTCCTATCCAACGATTTAAGCGTCTTGAAAATGGAACTGTTTTCACCAAGCACACTTTCATCGTAAAACAAGGTCGCAACTCCAAGTAACAACCAAGCCAATATGAACTGACCAATCAACAATAAGCTCCTCCCTTGTCACTTGCACCCTCCTGTCACCATCAAGTCGCAGTTTTTTTCCATCCAGCAAGATGCAGTCAGCACCTGCAGAGTCCCTGTTGCCTTCTACATCGTCTTCGTCAGTGTTTCTCCAGGCTTAACAGTTGGGTTTAGTCCTGACTCTTCTCTCTTCGACTCAAAACATTCCTCTCATCGTTTATTCTTCGCCCTGTCCCCACTTGCCCCTCGCCCCTCGTGGGTCCTTACCTGTGAGTCCGTGTTGTTGTTGTTTTGCTTCACGCTGAGGTCGTCTTCGACAACGACTGACTTACTTCACAAATTCTGATACTTTCAGCCCTTTCTACTTGTATCTCTTGCTACCCTCTACCCCCGTACTATCCCCTGCCCCGCTGTTTTCTGTAACCTGCTGATCATCCCCCCTCCCTTCTGCCATCCAATTCCCTTGCTTCCTTCCCTACCCTGCAGCGCTGTATAGCCCTTGTGGCTTAGCGCTTCTTTTTGATTATAATAATAATAATAATGAGGTCGTCTTCAGTTTGCTGAGGAGAACCTCGGCAAAGTAAGTGGACCTCAACGTGGAACTTTGGATGGCTTGAAATGTATGTTCGTCGGGTACATGAGTTGGTGGTTGGGTATGAGTTGAACCTGCCTAACATGAGCCAGTAAGCCTACTGCACTGTTCCTTCATGCGTATGTTCTTGTATGTATTCTGCCTCATTATTATTATTATTATTATTATTATATTCACAAGGAAGTGTAAAAGCCACACGGAGCTGTGTTTATGTGCAGAGTACGTTATATATTCGTTTAATGCGCACAAGATCAACCACAAGATTTTGTAATCAATTTTGCTAGCTGGAAGCAAGGAAAGCAGTGCCAACTAGTGGTGGTAAGCAGCCTTAGATCTACTGGTGACCGTGGCGTTCACGCTAATCAGGGGAGTGTTGGGGGGCCTGGCTCAACTACCTCCTGTGGTAATCGTTTCAGCGAACCAGACTCTCTCAGGCCACCATCTGCTACACACGTTTTATAGGCCTGCAATACAAGCAGTTTAGGTTCTCAACATAATGCAGACCTGCAACACAAGTATTATAGTTCTGTGTTGACATTGGAACTCGGGTGATCTAAAGAGGACCTCTTGCATGACTAAATCTTTCAAAGAATGTGCATTAATGATTACCTTTCATTCCCTCATGCGTTGTATGCCACCAATAGGTTTACCGCTACCTATCATAAACAATAATGATAAACCACAGTACGGGTTGGAAGAATCCATGGCAAGTGAATGGTAAAACTCCAGTGTGTAAGCCATTGGGTCAGCTGGCTACAATAAGAGTCATCGAACTAGGTATATTTATACACCATGAGTTCTAACCCCACCCGTACAGTAGTTTGCTTGCAGTCGTGTCAAAACGATTTCGTGAGTAACGATAATGCTTTAAAATACACGTATGTTACAGGTATAAGTGTAGAGGACCCACGATGGATCGGTGCCTGGTGGCTGGGACAACTGGTGCTGGCACTGTTGATGTTGACACTAGCATCTCTCCTCTTGTTCTACCCCAGGTACACTTCTTGCCCTCTTATTATTATAATAATTATTATTATTATTATTATTCTACCTTCAAACTACTGATGATTCGTACTGTTGATATTGGGAGTAGCATCTCTCCTGTTAAACCCCAGGTACAGTCATGCCCTCTCTATTATTTTTTTTTCAACAAGCCGGCCGCATCCCACCGAGGAAGTGGCCCAAAAAGAGAAACGAATGTTTCTCTTCTATTTATTACCAGAGCTTTGGTAAGATAGGTAAGGAAGAAGGATGGGTAAGGATAGAAATATTGGAAAAGGGTGGGAGGGGGGAGAGAGGTAGGATATAAAAGGTAAGTGGCCCAACCACTTTGGTGTAATTTAAAAAGTGTATGTGGAATAATAAAATATTCTTGAAGGGGTATAATACTAACCCATCAGAGTCACATAGATATAACAGATATATAAGTACATGACTCTGAATTGGTAGTAATTATACAAGTTGCAATTGCTTTTTTTTTTTTTTTTTTTTTTTTTTTTTTTTTTTTTTGCGATTGTACAACGGATATTTAAAAGGGACAATGAAGGCAATAATTTTCGGGTCAGTTTAAAAAAGAATTACTTGACACTTTTAGCTTTTTACAAGGTGGTGCCCCGCCTTAAATGTAGCAAAATTTTTAAAACAGGGGAATGTTATAAAATTTTCCCCCTTTTGGGGGGGCGAGATTTTTCCAGTAAACATAAAAGGGGTTCTGGGTTCCCCAAATCACTTCACACAGGGATTTTGTCAAATCGGTCGATGGTAATCGTTTTTATGGATAAAAGAGGGGGACCCTCTGTGGAGAGTCTTTTCTTTGAGTCCTGTGAGGAGGATTTTTGATAAAACCGTGGATTTTCAATTTTTGAGAGGTTCTCTATCGGGCGTGAGTTTTGCATTGCATAGATTGTTTTTTTTTAGGGTTCAAGGCGTACTTTTAAAGGGGCAAAAATTCTTTACATGAAAATCTGCCATTTTAACTCTGTCTTCCCCGGGTGCCCCCAATGAAGCGGGAGCTTATTCTGGACCCCGTTGCAACCTACATGTTGGTCTTTGTTGTTAATGACGGGACACATGGGAAATTTCAAGTAAGGTTTTTTAAAATTTTTTATCAGATTTTTTTGACTTGGGAGGGCTTTTTTTAAAAATCTAAAGAGACCGTTAAAAAACCGGTTTTGGGAAGTTGATCTTTTTTTAGTTACATGAGATGTTGATGGAGCAGCCTTTTCCTTTTTCATACCCAAATCTTGTTAGGGTTTCTAATGGCTAAGGGTACCTTGACGAGATACCCCCTTTTTTTCGATTTTTGATGAAAACATCCTATCGTGCCTAACGGACTTTGTCGGGTTTTCCCTTAATTTCTCCATTTTTTTTTCCCCCAATTAATGTTCGACGAAGTTTCAAATTCATTTTTTCTTTTCCCTCAATTTTATTTTCCTGTACCGGGATTTGATGAACGACTGGATAAATCACTGCAAATTACTTTATAATTGTATCTTTAAACTTGGTTGGGGAAAGGTCTTCACATAAATTTTTTAAAAAAGAAGGACTAAGACAAAACCTTGGGGGGACACCAGCTTTTGGGGTATAAAAAGGCCTGTCGACCTCCCGTGAAAGGTGGGAATTTTTTTTTCTTTGAGTTAAGAAGTTATATTTTAAAAACGGGAAAAGGCCATTTTAGGTCTGGTGGGGTCAAAAATTTTGATATAAGACCACAGGGCCAAAAGCTATCAAAAGTTTTAAAGAACCTCTGGTGGCAATTAGGGCAAGATTGCCCTATTTTTTTAAACTTGCTACAGAAACGAAAATTTTAAAAATGCAAGGGGTACCTCTGGTTCAAAAGCCAAAATTGTTTTTTCATAAAAGGTGATTAAACTCCAATAGTAGTTCAGTCTTTTGGAAATGATCTTCCAAAAAACTTTTCCAGTACTTCAAGAAAGATATAGGTCTAAAGTTCCCTGGTTATGATGCTTTTATTAGGCTTAGAAGAAAAAATCATCCCAGTCTTAAAAACAACGGGGAAAAGTCCTGAGGCCAAGATGGATTAAAGATTTAACCCAAAGACTGTTTACAATTTCGGGGTAGGAACTTTATTTGTTTCATTTTTATTCCGAGAAAACCGGGGGCTCATTTCGCATTCTTCAATAACCTGACCCTTTCCAAATAATGTAAAGGCAGTAAGGGTGGGGCATCTTCCAGATTTGATTATCGATAAAAGGAAGTGGTTGTAGACATCTAATTTTTCATTTTTAAAACCGACGACTTTTTTGTGGGAAAAAAATTTTCTCCCATACATACCATAAAAATTAGCCTGGTCCTGTGGATCATCAATTTAATCCAACATCCATCAATCCTCATCAGTAAAGGGTATAATTTAGGTAGTTAAGGCCCTTGTGCTTTGCCCCAAAAGTTGTCGGATTTACCCCAAAATTTGCTGGATCACGTTTATACTGATTAGCTTTGGAGAACGCATTTTCCAAAAGTCACGTTTTGTGACAAAATCATGTAATTAATTTTTTTGCCTAAAAATTGTGCAATGTACTAGGGGTTGCCGCGTTTGAAGACCCTTCGACATTCTGTTTGATAATTTTCCCCCAAAGCGTCTCTAATTTCCCCCTCGTAGTTTATATTGTTGGTAATCTTTGTGGAAGCAAATTGACAGGTTGCTTTAAAATACATAATTTTCGATTGTGAAGGGGCCCCAAACGCGTCGTCAATTGCAGGGGAAAAGGTAGATTTCCAAAACGAGAAAATTTCATCTCACCCAAAATGACCTGAAGGGGTAAAATCCTGGGGTTTGAGATGGGTTTAGGAGGTAAGGTATTCTAAATGGAAAGTTTGTAGTTGTTTAAAAAGGGTTTGGTAGATCCTACGTTTCCACCAGGAGAGATACGACAATGAAAGGGCACAGCTCTGTTTGCGGGCTATATCTGGTGTCCCTGGAGATGACCCAAATACGATTTAAAGAATGGGGCCCGAAATGACAAGTTTCTGGCTGTCAAATTAAATAATTTTTTTCCTTTTAAGTCCCCCGTGGATTACAGCCCACTTAAAAAGGGCTGGTGATGACATTAAAAAACTCCCGCAAATTGTTGGAATATTTCTGCTTTAATATCCTATGTAGAGGAATTGACTCGATATATTTTCGGGGGGAAAAAAACCAGTTGCTACACTTTGGGCCCTAAGTCACATTTTTATTGCAAGAATGTTTTCTTTATCAACAGAATATTTTTAAATGTAAAGCCTAAATTTAACTAAGATGGGCTACTCCCAAAGGGTCCTCTCGATTTTTTCCCGAATAACCACGTAATTTTAAAATTTGATCAACTCCGCAGCTGTCTCATCAAGAGATAAATCAATTGAAAAATTTTTTTTATTCAACCTCAAAGGGGGTAACGGTTATTAAGAAATGTTGAACTTAAGTTGGAAAATTGTAAACCCCATTATTCTTGCACTTCGCCCCGTGTACGCGGGTCTGAACGTCTGCAAGTAATGTCATTTTGGTATCCACACAAACCCTCTGGGGGTCGTCAGGGGAGGGAGGGAGTTTTGAGTAGTTTTTTTTTTGTATTAAAAATTTTCACCCCCACTAGAAAGTGGTAATATTAACAGAATCATTTAGTCACATCATAAATACGGGTTGATATTCCCCGTTTCAGGAAGCAGAGGCTCGTGAGAGTTAAGGGAACTGTGGGGGCTCCAAGGGGAAAAATTTGGTAGGGCGGTGAATTATCCGGGGGAAAATTTCCCGTTCAAAAAGGATCAGCTGCAATAGCGGAAGAGTAACACCCAAACTCTAGGCATCGTTTGGGTCATATTGACTCTCGGGTGAGGGGAGTTGACAAACCTGGATCAGGGGGGGATCCCTGGACAAGGATGACTTAGGTTATTTGTAGAAATACGTATGGTACATCTTTTTTAGTAAGGCTGGGGGCCCTAATAAAACCCTTTACATTATCTGGGATTTGTAATGGAGTGGCCCATTTGCCATTAACAAATCATTTAAAAAACTTAGAGCAAGGTTTAATGTTCCACCTGTGTGCTTTTGGCCATCCCCATACATTAGTTGCGCCTCGTCTATTTCCCGGCGAGGATACCTGGAACATGGGGGGTTAGACTGAACCTTTTTGTTGCGTTTGTGTATGTTTGGTGGGGTTAGATTGGGACCCAAGAGGGCAGAATTTCCAAATAATTGGAACAAGGGAAGAGACTGAGGGGTCCCACTGATCCAGGCAAAAAATGGGAAGGGAAATTTGGGGCATTGTTGGAGTGCCTCGGGGGGTTCTTCTAAAAATTGGACAGTTTTTTTAGCTTCTAGAATTTTCGCATTTCCCTTTTTTCCCCTCGGGGGACATAAGGAAAAAACGCATGCGTTTTCCATTGCAGAGGGAAACATTTGGTTTTGTTTTTTTTATTCAATCTTTAAAGAAGTTGCCCAGAGAATGCTCAAAAACCCCTGCTTTTGGGGACTGCATTTTTGGTGGTAGACCAAATGCGTAACATTTGTACATTTGTAACACTTTACAAAACCCCTCAAAAAGGGGGTTTGGGCAGGTTACACTGGGGGCCAAAAAAATTTTGAAGCCCTTTGACACACAGTTTGGTTTCCCTTTAGGTGTCTCAGTATTATCTTTAAAATTTTTCCCGTTGTTGCAGGGTTTAAAAATTTGGTTGGGGCAGCAGAAATTTGAATTCTCTGCATTAAAATCAGCAATAAGTTCATTCCTGTTTCTCTCAGATGCTGTTTTTAAATTCTGGCAACAAACACAGTTCGCTGAGCTTGTAGCTTTCAGGTTCAATTGGAGGGTACCAAAAAGTCTTCAATTTGTCCAGGACGTCCCTTAAGAGTTGAAAAACTCTTTTTCAGAAAAGGGAGAATACTACCCCAGCGAGATTGTAAAAACACCCTGGGGCAACGGTTTAATTTGAGCAAAAACATGCTAGAATTTCTTTCCTTGACTTTTTGGTTTTTTCATCAACTGTAATCTTACTCTTATCCGCGCCAGATGTCCAGGGAAGGGACTCTGGCACAAAGTTTTTTAAAAAAAAAGGGTCTTTTCCTTAGTGTTAGTCTAACATCCTATTTCAGCTGACTTATGAAGGTCAGCCCCTAAGATAGCCTACCCTCGAGTGGTGAGGGGGACACAGCGCCCAAGGCAAAGATCGGCCGGATTTTAAAAAACCACACGGGCTACCGGATGGTCAAAATGCCTTGTGTTAACTCGCCAAAGCGAAGTTGCTGAAAAAGAAAAAGATAGGAAAGTCAGAAGGATAGCAATGTATGTAGTGTGTTAATGTGTGGGCCAGTGTAGATGTTTGTGTGAGGGGAGGATGGGGAAGAGAGGGGTGAACAAGCAAGCAAGTCACCGCCTTACCCTCTTGATGGGATGGTGCTCGAAGTGACTGCAAGAAAGTTTCCTCTCGGCTCTGGTCGAGAACAACTCAGGATAACCCAAGAAAAATCTTGAGTAACAGTGTTCGGAGTTGCTCTGATAGCGAATTACTCAGGATAACAGAAGAACAGGAACGACACGTCCTCTCTCCACGGCGGCTGGACGGGATCTGTGTCAGTGTCGTGTGTCAATGTTTCTCTTTTTAAATTTAGTAATTTATACAGGAGACGGGGTTACTAGCCCCTTGCTCCCGGCATTTTAGTCACCTCATACGACACGCATGGCTTACGGAGGAAGAATTCTGTTCCACTTCCCCATGGAGATATTATTATTCGATTTATGTTCAGGTTTTCCAAGTTTTTATAGGACATAAGTTTTCATATGATGTGATGGTAATTAGTCAAGGTTTTTCTTTCTTTTATATAAAGTTTCACGAAATTATCGAGATATAGTGCTTACATTTACGTTGTAAAATATATTCACTGAACGGAGGTTCAAACCCATAGTGAGCCAGTTTTAAAACTAGCAAGTAATAACCACTGTATAGTACACTAACCTGATAGTGTTAGTAGTACGCTGTCAACGATAGTGTTAAGAGTAGGCTATCCACTAGATAACCTACTGTTAATACTATCATGATACTGCTAAAACTAATAGGTCAGTAGGCTATCCACTAGATAACCTACTGTTAACGCTATCATGATACTGCTAAAACTAATAGGTCAGTAAGCTATCCACTTCATAGCCTACTGGGCTACTAGTTTTAGCAGTACACTAGCCATTGGGTAGCCTATTGACTTAGTAGTTTTAGCAGTACACTGGCCAGTGGATAGGCTACTGACCACCTAGTTTTAACAGTACACTAGCCAGTGAATAAGCCTACTGATTTGCCAGTTTTAGGACTGGAGGAGCGTTTAAAAAACCCTCTATTTTCTGCGAGTTGTTCATAATCATGCCATAACCATTTCTCCAGTCTTTTACGTATTAATATTTGATACACAAATAACCCGCACATAAGAGAAAAACTTTATGATGGCGTTTCGGTTTGACTTGGATTATTAACTAGTCACAGTTTCTTTTTTTCCTACGTGCGGGTTATTTGTGTATTGTTCCAGTCACGGTATTGTATCTGTTCTTAATATTTGGTGTGTGTGGCCAGCAGAAGTCTGAGTAAGGAGGAGGTGTGCGAGAGAGCACCTCAGTGTGTTGCGCCCACCCATCATAGTTTAGATGAGCACCACATGCTGGAAGAAATGGTGAGGACATCAGTAGTACCCTGCGACACCCCAGCACGCAAGGTCTACCACACACCACCTGCACCACCATTACCACTACCTCCTCCAGCACCACCAGATGATGCAGTAGTCACAGACGATGATTGTAGCGTGGAAGAGAGAGAAACAGTAAGAGACTACGTTATGGATGAGCGAGACAGCGGGTACTCCATGGAGCTGGAGACCGTGGATGTGGTGGAAGAAAAAGGTAGTCAGTATGCCATGGACGCGGACCACAGTCACTCCCACCACAACACACTTGAGGAAGATTTGCAGAAAAATGACAGTACCACTCACCAGGAGATACAAAATGGCATTAAAGGTATTTGCTAGTTTACCATTTTTTTTAAAGAACAAAATCATACAATTTCTAACTTGTAAAAAAAAAAATAGTGTTTCTTGTCATAACCCCCTTGTTTTTGACTTGTAACAGTCGTGTTTCTGAAGAAGATTAAAACAATTCTAACTTGTAACAAATTTTTAACTTTACAAAAATTACGTTTTCAGAGAACAATAACAGTTTCTAACTTGTACATCCTGTGATGGACCTGACTACTACTTTGTGTAGTGTAGTTTTGTGAAGAGTAGTTTTATGTAGTGTAGTTTGATCTCGTGTTTTCAAAAATGATTGACACTGGAAAGTAACAAACTTAAGAGAGAATGTAAGTATTGAATATATTCACTCTGAAGCGCCAAACCAGTAGAGGTGATACGCCATCTGGGAAACTGTGGAAGCAATAAGGATTGATCAAAAGAGCAGCAGCTCCAATTCCTAAGATCAAGAAACCTTTACTAGCATCAAAGAAGCGATACTTTTCGATTAAACTTGGTTTAATTTCTGTTTCATAGCCACTATTCGACCCGTATGGGTTTGGCGCATCCCCATGAATATAAAACTACTGAGGAGCTAGTTGTAAAACCATCGTGTTGTAATGCGTGGCTGAGTGGTGCCAGTAAATGAAGGGCCCCGTTTTGCAGTGCTGAGCTTTACTGTGTTTCACTAATTCAGTGGTTGTCAATTATACCCATTCTTCATTCTTCATTTATTCAGACTTCGTACAATAACTATATTCACCCACTATACACTTAAGGACGAAAATATTTTAAGGTAAGTAATACATATTTTATGAAAAAGATTATAAATAAGTATACAAGATATGATATAGCATGTAATGAAAGTAGTTTGTTAGATTATGTATTGTTGGATAAAAGGTTGATGGGTAGGCTCCAGGATGTACATGTTTATAGAGGGGCAACAGATATATTCGATCATTATTTAGTTGTAGCTACAGTTAGAGGTAGATGGGACAAAAGGAAAATGGCAACAAGTGAGAGAGAGGTGAAAGTTTATGAACTCAGGGTTGAACTTAGGTTGAGATATAAGCAACTAATGGCAGAAAGGTGCGCTAGTGTAGTGGGGGGTTGAAGAGGGATGAGTTTTAAAAATGCAGTATTAGAATGTGAGGCAGAAGTTTGTGGCTATAGGAGGGCGGGTGCAGGAGGAAAGAGGAGTGATTGGTGGAATGATGAAGTAATAGGCGTGATAAGAGAAGAAAAGGTAGTTTGTGAGAAGTTTTTACGAAGCAGAAGCGATATAAGAGGGGCAGAGTATATGAAAGAGTGCAAAAGGAGAGCAAATGATAGAGTGGGGGAGGCACTGTCAAGAAATTTTGCTGAGAATAAGAAAATTTTTTGGAGATAAACAAGTTAAGAAAGCTTAGGGAACGAATGGATTTGCAGTTAAAAACAGAGTAGGGGAGTTAGTAGATGGGGAGCTGGAGGTATTGGGTAGATGGCGGGAATATTTTCAGAAACTTTTAAATGTTGACGAAGAATGGGAGGCAGTAATTTTGTGCACTGGCCGGGGAGGTATAACATCTTTCAGGAGTGAAGAAGAGCAGGATGTGAGTGTGGGGGAGGTGCGTGAGGCATTACGTAGAATGAAAGGGAGTAAAGCAGCTGGAACTGATGGAAACATTACAGAAATGTTAAAAGCTGGGGGATGGGGGATGTTGCAGTGTTGGAGTGGTTGGTAAAATTTTTGTTTAATAAATGTATGAAAGAGGGGAAGGTACCTAGGGATTGGCAGAGAGCATGCATAGTTCCTTTATATAAAGGGAAACGGGACAAAATAAGTTGAAAAAATTATAGGGGAATTAGTTTACTGAGTATACCAGGTAAAGTGTACGGTATGGTTATTATTGAAAGAATTAGAGGTAAGACAGAGAGCAGGATTGCAGATGAGCAAGGAGGCTTTAGAATGGGTAGGGGATGTGTAGATCAAGTGTTTACATTGAGGCATATATGTGTTCAGTATTTAGATAAAGGTAGGGAAGTTTTCATTGCATTTATGGATTTAGAAAAGGCACATGATAGAGTGGATAGAGGAGCAATGTGGCAGATGTTGCAAGTGTATGGAATAGGGAGTAAGATCCTAAATACTGTAAAGAGGTTTTATGAGAATAGTGAGGCTCAGGTTAGGGTGTGTAGAAGAGAGGGAGATTACTTCCCAGTAAAAGTAGGTCTTAGACAGGGATATTTAATGTCACCATAGTGATTTGACATATTTATAGTTGGGGAAAGAGGCGGGATTAAATTATGGGGAATCAAATGCAAAGTGGGAGTTGACACAGTTATTTTTGCTGATGATACTGTGCTTTTGGGTGATTCTAAAGAAAGTTGCAAAGGTTAGTGGACGAGTTTGGGAGAGTGTGTAAAGGTAGAGAGTTGAAAGTGAACATAGATAAGAGTAAGGTGATGAGGGTATTAAATGATTTAAAGAAAAATTGGATATCTATTACATTGGAGGGAGGGAGTGTGGCAGAAGTGAATGTTTTCAGATACTTGAGAGTTGACTTTTCAGCAGATGGGTTTATGAAGGATGAGATTAACCATAGAATTGATAATACCACAGACCACTACCCTACCTTTCTCATAACCAATCTAGGCAAATTACCCCCAGACACTACTAAAGTAACCTTCAGACTTCACAATGAGACAGCCATTAATAACTTCACAACAGCAATGACAAACATCGACTGGCTAACTGAGCTAGAAACCTATACGGATACTGACAAATGTTTTAACAATTTTAAAAGACCCAAACCTCAAAACAACACTGCCCTAAAAAAAAAAAATAGTCACATTAAGAGACGGACAGCCCCCTGGCTAACACCCACATCCTCAAATCCAAAAATATAAAGCCCCCAGTATGAAAAAGAGAAAGAATTGTCACAAAACCCAGAGACCAAAAAAAAACTTTACTCCAGTCCTAACCCACCGTTAAGAAGGGCAAAAAAATTGTATTAGAAAAAAGACTCTGAAATTCTAGAAAAAAAAGACAGAAACAAAGCAATCAAAACAAAATCAGTAAACCCCAACCTCCCAACTAAAAACAGAAAACAGACCAATTTTTTTCTTTCTCCACCATAAAACCCCCCAAGCTAAAATACCCCACCCATGACTACCTCACTGGCAAAAAACCCGGCCCCACCGTTCCTAGCTCCAACCCCCCCAACGAAGTCTCCTATTATCAGCAAACAAAAAAAAACAATAGGGGAAGATTTAAAACCCTTTACCACCCTTTATATGCAAAAAGCTTCGCAAGGCTGTCACCAATCATTGAAACATTTTAAAACAAATCCACGAATCCTCTACTCCCCACATTTCTCAAAATAGCGAGGGTAAAACCCCCGATACATAAAGGAGGAATCAGACTTGAATAACTTGGGCCCCAAAACCAAACTTACACCCTTCTCAAAAAATTTTTGAAAAAAAATTTCAAAAGCGAATCTATCCCCCCTCATCTCCCACAACCTAAACCACTGTCTTTTTGGGTTTTTAGTCCTCAAAAAAAATACGAATGATGCATATAACAATGCTTGAACAAAAAACACTGCACCGAGAAAAAAAGAAACCCCTTTGGGGGTCTTCATTGTTTAGTAAACTTTTGATCAGTTCCATGATTTGTTGCACAAAAAATTGTCTCGCTATGGTTAAAAGGGCACTCCTCAACTACCAAAGTCTACCTCACAACAGAAGCCAATAGTACACAAAGGACAAACTCTTCCAAAAACCCCAATTCATTTGGTGTCCCACAGGAAAGTGCCCTTTGGGCCCTCCTTCTTTCCAATACATAAATGACCTACAAAGCTCGCAACCACTAAACCCACCTTTTTGCAGATGAACTACATACGTTTTTCCCCTCACCCGACCCCCAGTCATCTAGCCAATGAAAAATACCAAATTTACAGAAAATATCTACCGGATAAATTAAAAACTTCAGTATTGAAAAAACCTATTTTCTACTTATTTTTTTTTTGGGGGGGGGGATTATCCTAGATAATTTCCCTATATATATAAAACAATTGTAGGGGGATGTTACCATACCGGGAAAAAGTTATTAACACGAAGGTTATGTTACAGAGTTGGAAACGCGGGGGGGGTGTTGAAGAACAAGGGGGTAGGATACATTGTAGGACTTCTTCCTAGTTTTTTGGCCACCTCCACGGGGGATGGTCTGGCTGCCCAAGTACATGCAACAAACTTCAGAGTCCCCAAAAGCCCAAATCTCATTTTTTACTGGTCAGTTAATATTATTTTTATATTTTGTATGCTTCCGGGGTGTAACATCTATCATAATTTCAGCAGAAAATCATGAACTATGGGAGTTTTTGGGGAACTACACTCACAGAGCGGTTTGCAGGAATAGCTTTACGAACAACAGCATTTGTAGCACTGCGAGGCCAGGGTAAATCAAGCTAGACAGTTCCAAAGTCCTAGAAACTTCTAAAATAAAAGAACCCAAATTACATCCAAGCGGGAGACTTTTGACTTTTTTAGATCAAATTTACTCCTGTCCTATTAATTTGCACCATGTATTGGGGGGTAAATCTCTCCTCTTCTAGAGTACATTCTAAGTGCTTGAAGGGGGTTCCTTTTTTATTGATTCTATGTAGGTATTTGAGTGACTATATATTGTCCATGCTACTCTCCCCTATCTCAAAAGCGCTGGGGCACAGAACAGTATTCTAGACCACAAGGGAAAAAAAGTCACTTTTTTGGGGGTTATCCTACGAAAATTTAGACAATTAAACTATGAAAGATAATTGTACTTGTGTACCGGGAAAATTTCATAACTTACAACTCTTATTTAAGCAAAGACAAAATTTCAAGCTTTAAAATGGTTTTATATTACAAGCAACATTTTTTAAAAAAACACAACCTGTATATTGTTTTTCTTGTAAAGCTTTGAGGAATCCATGAAAATTGACTACCATGGGGCTGTAAAGGGGTTTTCCTTTCTTCCGTTGTTAAATTTTGGAAAATTTTTTGGTTAACTGCTTTACGAAAAATTTCACAATAGAGAGAAGCTTTTGATAATAGAAATTTTATACAAATGTATTTTAGTTTTTATTTTTTTATGCAAACCCCATACCCATCCCGTGGGGGGATCACCCCAACCCAACCTGGGGTAGTCCCCCCCATACCCATCCTGTGGGGTTAGTCCAAAACCCCATAAACCCTGTGGGGTTAGCACCCTACCCATCCTGTGGGGGTAGTCACCCATACCCAAACCTTGGGGGAGTCCCCATACCCAACCTGTGGGGGTTATCCCCAAAACCCCAAACCATTGGGGGGGTCACCCATACCCATCCCTTGGGGGAGCCCCCCATACCCCTCCTTTGGGGTAGTCACCCCAACCCACCTTGGGGGAAATCACCCATACCCATCCCGGGGGGAGTCAACCTCATACCCCTCCTGTGGGCGGTAGTCACCCATACCCATCCTGTGGGGGTAGTCACCCCATCCCATCCTGTGGGGGGGTCACCCCATACCCTCCGTGGGGGGAGTCACCCCATACCCATCCGTGGGTGGGATTCACCCCATACCCCCCTGTGGGGGGATCACCCCATACCCACCGTGGGGGTAGTCACCCCCTACCCATCCTGTG